GGGGCCACAGTGAGGATCGTCCCTGCCTTGTCTGGGGGGCCACAGTGAGGGTCCGTCCCTGTGTGCTGGACACCAGGGCTTTTAAACCTGCCGACATTCAGAGCATAAGCCATCCACGCCACAAAACTGGAGACGAGGCTTGCTTTCCAAACTGGACGATCCTTTCCTGGTGCTGTGACCTCTGGGCTTGTTGGCCTGCCTTAGGGGACACATTTCCTGGTCTCCTACAGCACAGCCTTGTTACCTGGAAATAGGGTCCTTGATGGAAATGTGTGACTTCGCTCCCTGGGGTATTTCTGACAAGCCACGTGGAAATGGGATTTTGGAAATGGAGTCGTCTCGTTTGGTTTTGTACATCATGTCTGAAAGTATCTTTTCCTATAAATCAATATTTTGTAAATTGGGTTCATTAAGAATGTCCCAGAGGCAGCCCTGATGGCCCAGTGGTTAGGTTAGTTGCACTCCGCTTCAGCAGCCTGGGTTAGTTTCCTGCTCGCAGACCTATACTCGTCTGTCTGTAGCCATGCTGTGGTGGTGGCTCACACTGAAGAACTAGAAGAATTTACAACTATACACAACTGGGTTGGGGCTTTGGGGGATAAAAAGGAAGAAAAAGGAGGAAGATTGGCAACAGATGTTAGCTTAAGGTGAATCTTCCCCTGCAAAAAAGAAAAAACAACAACTAAAACTCAAACCATATTGTAACATAGCTTGAAAAAAAAAAAGAATGTCCTAGATCCTGGTGAAAGAGACGCAATTTATAGCCACAGTTTTCCCACCTGTAAAACAGACATAATCTAAGTCCTAACCACCTTACAGTTTTTGGCAGTTTTTAGATTTTATGTGCCTGACAGTGCTTCATCAAAGTGGCTTTTATTATGGGTAAAGGGTTTCAAAGTAGCAGGAACATTGCTGTTGACGTAGAACATTCCATTAGAGACCAACTGCAGTTTGACTGAGGGAGGCAACCTGTCTGGAGACCATAGCTGTTTCACTTATTTTCTTTAAGAAAAGATTGAGCGAATGTCATAAAAAAGAGTGAATGGGGGCCTGCCCGGTGGCACAGTGGTTAAGTTCACACATTCTGCTTTGGCAGCCCGGGGTTCACCGGTTCGGATCCCAGGTGCGGACATGGCACCGCTTGTCAAGCCATGCTGTGGCAGGCGTCCCACATATAAAGTAGAGGAAGATGGGCATGGATGTTAGCTCAGGGCCAGTCTTCCTCAGCAAAAAAAGAGGAGGATTGGCAGCAGATGTTAGCTCAGGGCTAATCTTCCTCAAAAAAAGATACAACAAATAAAAAATTTTAAAAAACAACAAAAAAGAGAGTGAATGATTCTACAGTGTTCTTTTGGGCGGTTTCTGGCACTTTGCTGACTCTTGGATGTAGCTGCCCTTCCACACCCAGAGTGTCAGTTCTCGTTTAGGGCTCAGGGCGCTCCTGCTTCCTTTCAGAAACCACTTCTCCTTTCACACTCTCCCCCACCCCTGCACACACACGTGCTCACGCCCAGGCTCACACACACCTCCACGCTCACTGCCCGCTCTCCTGCAAGGGGCTGTTTGCACAGTGTTTATTCGGGTGGAAAGAGAGAGGAGACAGCTGGCCGACCGCCGCTGCCTGGGTCTGCCTTGCTCTGCTCCCCGTGCTGTCTCCACAGAGCTCGGAAACAGTTAACCCTTGAAGAGCGGGCTGGGCAATTCTCCGGCCTCTGACAGCTTTCTTTGGGGTGAAGCACAGAGGTATTTCTGTGGCCTCTTACTGGCTGGAAATACCGTCTGGGTCCTTCTGGGCTCATTCGTGGTGCCTTCCTCGCCTTCCGGGCCTGTGTTGGGCGACGCTTCTGCTGGTTTTGAATAAGAATATGCCGAGTCTTGGGTTCTGAGTCAGACAGTGGCAGAGTCGGGGCTGGAGACGGGTGACCCGGCAAACTCAGCTGCCTTCAGTTTCTCCCCTGAACAAGGAGGGCTACAACCCCTGCCTCCTGCGCAGAGGGCACGTACACATTGACGGGGCTGGGACCGCAGCTGCTCCATCCTGGACAGCCCCGCTGCGTTGCAACGCTCCCTCACATGGCTCAGGGCCGTCCCCACGTCTGGCTCGGCTGCTGGGAGGTGCTGCCTCTTCGTGCCTCCTGTTGCCAGACAGGATGGAGAAACATCTACCTGGCTTTTTTAAGACAACAACCCCATGAGGGCGATGTTCCCGTGTTCCCATTTCGCAGATGAGAGCACAGTGGCTCCCAGAGGGTAGGAGTCTTCCCAAAGGTGACTTGGCCAGGGGGCCCCAGAGCCGGCCGTTACGTGCCCTGAGCATTGGGGACTGTGCCAGCAAGAGGAACAAGAGTCGGCCACGTTCATTACCAGAATTTACCAGAATCAGGGTGACGGGGTTGGAATCACAGAGCGGGATGCTGGGAGGCTCCAGGCCGGCCAGAGATTGTGTAACTGTGCTTTCTGGAGCCCAGCCAGGCCGCAAAACAAACAGAAGGGCTGGAAGCAGAAACCTCACAAAAACTGCCCGCAGAAACCAGCGATTTAGGCAATCGAGGAGTTTTTCTTTCGCTGTTTATTATAAATCACCAGTGGTAATTAAGCGCCCATCAGAGCGGCTTGCTGGCTGGACATCTCAGACCAGATCGCCTCCTCTTAAGATGTAGGGGGTCCTGTAAGTGCCGGTTCAAATGGACCACCCTGTATGGAGTCACACAGACGAGCATCACGGAACTGCCTTTGGTGAGGAGAACAAAGAGCACCTTTCCGCGGGGTTCTAGAATGCGAGAGCTCGGAGGTGAGGAGTGTGCTGGAAAGAGGGCAGATCCACACGGGGGAAGCAGTGGGCACCACCCGCCCTGGTCCCCACCCGTCCTGCTCGGGTCTCCTCGGTGCAGCATCCGGGCGCAGAGCCAGGCCGCCCGGGAGTGGGTGGACAGAGTCTGGGAGACAGCCATCCGGGAGGCTGAGTTCTCGGCGGGCCTGACACCTAGAGATGCTGATCCACGGCGCAGGCAGGACACGGAGCAGAGAAGGTGATGTGGGCGCCACTCTGGTCTGGTAAGTAACAGACGGGGAGTTTTCATGTGGTTCTCTTTGTTCGTCAACAAATAACTGCTCGCTATTTTTTTTTTTTTTTTTTTTTTTTTGGTGCTAATGTATGAGATTCCTGTTCTGTCTTTAGTTCAGTGGTTCTCAACCAGGAGCGATTTGCCTCCCCCCCCACCCCGGGACATGTGAGAACATCTGGGGACATTCTGTTGTCACCACCTGCAGCGGGAGCGGTGGGGTTGGGCAGTGAGCGTGTGCAGGCCGCAGTGCACAGGGCGCCCCGGTGTCGACCGTGCTGGGGCTGAAACCCCAGGTCGATTACTGAGGGAGGCAGGACCCGTGGCTTCCACTCCATTGACAATCAAGGGCTTGCTTTCTTTTTTGGTGTGAACATATGGGATTCTCAAATCTGTCGACTCTCACTGCGTCTTCTGGTTTCAGCACTGCTATTCTGACTTGAAGATAAAAGTGTCTCACTTAGGTCACGGAATGCACTTTTCATACAGACCAACAGGTGTAGACAGTGGCTACGAGCCCACATTCGAACACCATTATATTTATCTTCAAGCAAGATAGAATATAATGTTGAATTTATAGCCTATGGGGGTTTCGGATTCATAGTCAGCCAAGAGAGAGGCAGAAAAGCTTCTCCTGGCAGGACATACTTTAAATATACCGTATTTTAAGCAAGTTCAACATATGCCCGTCCAGATTTACGGCTGGTAAATGTGGGCTTGGTCTTCCACACATTCCAAGTCTCACAACAGACTCCGCCACTGGATTCCTCCAAGGACAGAATCTCCTTAGACAGGACGTGTGACCTCGGTTTCCTGGAGCCATAGGCCCATGGCTGACCCCCAGGGGCTGTGAGTTTCTAGAAGGAACAGGACAACCGCTGTGTGGTGGGTGCTCTGCATCACCCCCCTGGGGAGAGGGCTCAAGCTTTGTCCCACCGTCAGAATTGGTGACAACAAAATTATGTGGAGCCACCCTCTGGCACGTGAAGCTTGTGTTTGCGTTCTGAAGCTTCATTTCATTTAGCTTTTGGGAAACTCAGATGAGGGTTAGAACACAGGCTACATTTCCGGGACATCGAACTTTGGGCTAATTACTTCTCAGAGCGTCAGTTTCTGCATCTGTAAGACAAGGAACCTCACAAGGCTGCTGGGAGATTGAAAGGAAATGATGGACACAAAGGTCTTAATTTGGTGCCTGGCGTAGCGTCGGCGTGCTAGAGGTGGCAGCTGCCGCTTACGAATGCTGTTTCCCTCTGGACCTCTCTCTTAATCACGCAGTCCTACAATCCAGGATGGTATCCCATAATGGGCTCACTTCGTATTTAGGTATTTTCATTCTTTCAACAGTCCGTGTGGCTCGAATGGGCCAGGCCCCATGTTGGGTGTTGAAGATACAGAAGGGAGCAGAGCAGGGCCACCTCTCAGCCTGTGACACGCTGTCTCCTCGATGCTGCTCAGCCTCCTCCTCCAACGTCCCATCTCAGTACCTTCTCAGGATGGGCTGGATAATGCCCCCAAAGACGCCCACATCCTAGTTCTCGGAGACTGTGAATACGTGTCCTTACAAGGAGAAAGGGACTTTGTGGATGTGACTAAGCTGAGGATCTCGAGAGAGAACATGCTCCTGGACCCTCTGGGCTGGCCCAGGGTCATCACAAGGGTCCTTATAAGAGGGAGGCAGGAGGGTCGGAGTCAGAGAAGGAGACGTGGTGAGGGAAGCACAGGTCAGAGAGAGAGAGACTGGAAGGTGCTACGCTGCAGGCTGTGAAGCCGGAGGAAGGCACCCCGAGCCCAGGGATGCAGGCGCCGCTGGAAGCCGGAAAATCCAGGAAGCAGATTCTCCGGGGAATGTCCCATGGGAGCTGGCCGTGCCCACATCTTGACTGCAGCCCAGAGAGACCACGCTGGGTTTCTAACCTTCAGCACTGTGAGGAATAAAGTCATGTTGTGCTAAGCCGCTGATTTTACAGCAATCGGTCACAGCAGCCACAGGGGCGCCTCCAGTCCTGTAGATTGGGAAACGATTTCTTATTTCCACAGGAGTAGCCCACACATGGGAGAGGCAGGCGGGCTGCTGCCTCGGGTGGGTGTGCGAGGACTCTCGAGAAGATGCTAATCCTCCGTTTTTCACTATCGCTGACAGTGAAGCCTACGCGGGTGAAGGGGGGAGGGTTGTACCAGAGAAACAAGAGGAGGTCCTTCTTAGAACCCCGAGGAGGAAGGTAGAAGGAAACGAGAGTGCTGCCTCAGCTGACGGGGCTCCCTCAGCCGCCAGCGCCCAGGGAGCTCGCCCCGTGCGTCCCACCCGTGTCCCCGCGTCCCCGTGACTCCAGTGCCTCCAGCTGCTGCTCTCTGTTTAAAAGGCACCCGAGTGCCACCCAAGCCAGCAGGGCTCACCCGCTCCTGGCCGGTGCTCTGCAAGGGTCCAGCTCAGTTCTCTCTAAGATGGGGCCGTGGCGAGGGGCTGATTTCCAGGTTTGAGGATCGCTCCCTCGCATGCTGTTCTCCGTAGTGTGTGGTCTGCAGGCGGCCGTGCAGGCAGTGGATGGAGACCAGGGAGGGGCGGGTCTCAGGTCAGCAGGCAGCTCCGAGTGAGCCCAGCCCACCCCCAGCCCCACCCACAGCCCAGCCTCCAGGACTCAACTCGAGGAAGGACAAGGCCAGAACCAAGACTCGGACCCTTGACTCAGGCCAGAGGCCTCGCTGACCCAGCCCGTCACTGCTATCCAGGCAGGCTAAGCTGTGACTTGGGGAGCTCACCCCAATCTCCTGAATGCCCCAGGCTGCCTCAGCTGCTGGAATTCCACCTGCTGCTGCTTCTCTGCACCCCGTAAACCCGCAAACAGCCCTGCCAGCAAGGGCGGGAAGGCCCTGGGAGCCGGACAGTTTCCTTGGGACGAGTCCTCCTCTAGGACACTCTCCAGTGCCCACGGAGCCCTGGGTCCCAGGGCTGGACGTCCTTGGGGGCAGGGAGGAGCAGGGGCCTGGAGGAGGGGCCTCACTTGCAAGAGGAGAGGAGCCAGACCCCACAAAAGCGAGGGGGGATTTGGGAATGGGGCACAGAGACAGGGCAGCGCCTGGAGGCCCAACAAAGTGTCTGTGCAGCTTGTTCTCAAACAGACTTGTCGAAAAATAATCACATTTATTCCCTTTCCACTTAGAAAAGCAAAACAACATACTTTCAAGGAGAAACAAAGACAAGGCACAAAGAGCAAAATAAGCAGGCAGAGCAAAACAACTCTGGGTTGTGGGGACAGCAAAGAGGAAGTGGCCGCGGGGGTCCCCCCAGCCGCGCAGCTGGGCCCCAGTCCGCTTCCTCCTGCAGAAGCCGCCTCCCGGGGGCCGGGCAGCGCGACATCAGGCCGCACCTTTGTCAACACGAGTGGAGAGCAGCCCCACAGCCTGGAGGGCCAGGTTTCCGATGGCGGGGCCGTCCGCGTCTGATGTCAGCGCTGTTCTCGGGTCTTCCTGACACCCATTCGAATCCTGGAGAGCAGCAGCAAAGAGATGCTTCTGGTCGAGGATCTGAAGGCTTGCCCGGCAGGCCGGGAGGTTTCCGCATATATTTATTGGAAATAGCTTAGCGCCCGTTTTCAAACTTTTTACCCTCTCCCCAAACTAATTTTTCACACGTGCCCACTGCCTGATTCCACAATAAGACGCTGCTTGGAAAAAGGGTGGAGAGGGAAATTCCAGTGGTGCCCGGCGTGCTGGGCTCTGCCCACCAGCGGGAGGAAGCCTTCAGCCCCAGACCCTCGATGCCGGTGCTCACATTCCAAGCGGTGTGTGGACGCCTGGATAGCCATACCCACAGAAGGGCCGTGTGCCTGTTTAACCGAATCCCAAGGCGATGGCTCTGTGTTTTGTACGTCATTTTTAAATTTTCTTTTTCTAGCAATTCATTGTCATTGTATTTTGAAAAAGTCAGTCCACAATGGATTGCAAATAAGAGAAAAGTTAACTGATCCATCACAACAGACGGTTGGAAGGCACTGCTTGTGTAGAGAAGACACAGAATGTTTGTGTCGTTTCCCGGGGCCACCGTAACCAAGGACCACAAACTGGGGGCTTCAGATGACAGAAGCTGCTTCTCTCAGTTCTGGAGGCCAGACGTCTGAGACCAAGGTCTCAGGGCCATGCTCCCTCTGAGGGCTCCAGCAGAGGGTCCTCCCACCTCTTCCAGCTGCTGGTACTTATAGCATCCTTGGCGCTCCTGGGCTTGTGGCCCCATCACTCCAGTCTCTGTCTTCACCTGCACATGGGTTCCCACTGCACACGTCTGTATCTGGGCCTGAATCTCCTCGTGAGGACACTGGTCATACTGGGATCCACCTTAAGGACCCCATTTTGACTTGGTCACCTTCATGCAGACCCCATCTCCACATCAGGCCACATTCTGAGGTCCTGGGGGGTCAGTACTCCAACATATCCCTTTTTTTTTTTTTTTTTTGGTAAGGAAGATTGGCCTTGAGCTAACATCTGTGCCCATCTTCTTCTATTTTATGTGGGATGCCACCACAGCATGACTTGATGAGCCGTGTGTAGGTCCACACCCAGGCTCCAAACCCGTGAACCCCGGCCCCAAAGCAGAGCACGTGAACTTAACCACTACACCACTGGGCCGGCCCCACCAACATATCTTTTTTGAGGGCAACACAGTTCAACCCATAAGAACCTTTAAATGGGAGTTAACGGGAATATACTATCAGATAAAGGACCCTTATTTAGTTTATAGTTTTGAGGATTTACTATTTCGACCTTCACTAGGTAAAGATGACTTGAGAAATTGAACATTTCTTTGGGGTCCCTGCACTGTCAGTGGTGAGGTCAGTGACACAAGGGGTACATTTCGACTTGGATTTTTCTCTCATCCCTCCCTGCACAGCATCAGTGTGATTCAGAACAAAGTGAATTGGCAGCAAGATGCATCCTGGCCCCGGGGACCTGCCCTTCTGGCACGATGGCAAAGGCCTGCCCACCCCATGGTTCCTC